TTTGCTACTGGTAATAATTAGCAAAATGTACATTTCTGCAGCATGATTTCTGCTCAGATAAATATTTTCCTACCTGCTCAGCTACTTAGCCAAAAATCTGCCAACTCAATTCTTCCGTAGGCTGCAGGTAGCTGGAAGCAGGGCTTATCCACATCCTCAGGCTCTCTGGCTCACACCACATAATTTTAGTGGATCCATGGCAGGGGTTGGAATGAGATGGTCTTTAAGGTCTACCAATCTAAGCCATTCTGTGATTCTATGATTCATACAGACTTAAGATTAAAGATCCTTCCTCTATAAGTAATGTTGAATTCTCTTGTCTAATAATGCTACCTAAAGACCACTTTCACACAAGTTTAAATTTCTTGCAAATGAGACAGTTAAGAAATCCTGCTGAAAAACTGCAAAGGTTCAAATTTTTAACACTATTTTAAAACTTGATGAAGCTTTGGTTGCTGTAATGATGTGGAACTAACTGACAACTACAGTCCATTTTTTTAAACCAACATTCAGGCTCACCAGACATTCACCGTTCTTTGCACCATTAAATGGCAAGTTTAAATGTCAGGTTTGAGCTAAAAGAAGTAGCTATGGATGAAAAGGGTCAACTGGAAAATCAGATGGATGTAGGTAGTGGTTTTGTACAGAAGAGCACTTGTGTGTAGATGTATTAAATCAAATTGCACTTTGACCAAAAGTTATGTATTTGTTTATTGAAAAGATGTAGATTTCTGCTTCTTTCCAGTTTGCTTCTTTCCCCCAGACCAAGCAAGGCTCAGCTTTCATCAGTCACTTGTCAGTCAACCAACTGATTTCCCCCTTTATTGTATAAGAATAGGAAACACAATAATTAATTACAGAAACTCTGGGATAAGTTTATCCCAGGGATAAACTTCCAGGGATAAGCTTATGTTCCAAGAGTAGCAATATTTGCCAATGCCATCCTTATTTTTCTGATAATTAGACAAGCTAGTAAATGACTCCATGGCAGCCAGCAGTGGAAACTGTATCTTATGATGGTCAAAATAAATGACTGACTGTGATCTGCTGAGTGCACCACACAGAGTGTCACTCCCTCTTGTAAAGAGTCCTGCTCCTGTTACCATCTCCAGAAAAAAAAAAAAAATCATTTGTCTTCAGAAAGTTTAGACTGGACTTCATTCTTTTGCTTTGGGTCCATGTGGGTTTCTGGTCTGATAGACTCAGTCCTGCAGGGAAGCAAACACAGCAGCCTGGTGATGAGGATACAGAGCACACAGACATTGGCATGAGGTCTGCCCAAGTAAGAGGCTGAGAGGTTTTACAACCCAAGAAGGAGACCTGTGTTGCAAACGAGCAGAATCCCACCACAAGGAAGGTGAGGAAGGACCTCACTGATTTTGGGGCCAGCACTTCTAAATTTCACACAGTCAAAAAACCGAAGCAGAATTCGGTCACAGCTCTGGAGCATCACTCGGAGTGTGAACTCATCAGTTAGGTATGCACAGAACTGGCTGAGATCAACAGGCCTCATGAGAAATAGAAGTCAGCGTTGCCTTAGACATCAGTCAGAGACTAGGTTCATTTCCCATGGTTTGGGGTCACACTGTGAGCTTTTCGCAGGGCCACTCAGCAAGTGCTGTGAATAAACTCAAGAACTCAAACTTTGGTCCAACCAGTGTCTCATTAACACCAAACAGGCACTAAAACCTGGACCTCCACATAATTCACTACAATGGCAGCTTCCTCCATTTCCCAGCTCCTGCCAAGCAGAACAGCTCTCCTGCATTTCAAGAGCTGCTTTGTTGGTCAGGTTTTGTTGAGCTGTGGAACAAGTGTCTGAGCTGTAGTGTTGTCACTCTTGCCAAGGCTCTGTTCCTTACCTTGCGTGCAGGATGCCAGAACCTGGCAGCATCAGCACATCGAGGTGCACAAAGAATACATCATCAAAGTATCACTGAGGACAACAAGCCTCTATTTCTTCTAGCATGGGCCTGGTTTCTGCTGTCCCATTATGGAGATCAAAGGTATAATTTACTTAGAGGAGGAATTATTTGTGCATAAACAGCCACTAGCTAATAATACAGCAAAGATGCTAATAAATTCTAATGGGTGGCAGAGCAGACAGCAGTAGACAAGTGACCTGAGCATCTTTGTACATAAACTGTAACAAGAGGGAGTCTGATGCTGATGACAAAATCTTTTTGTGAGTAATGCTGGCAAAATCTTTTAGAGAATAATTCAGCTCTAGGTTAAAAGAAAGTGAGGCTCTTCTTTCCTATGAGAAACTAACATTAGGACCTTCTTTCCATCTTCACAAACGACAAGAAATGAAAGTAACTGCTGCTATTTTGTTTCAAACACTGATTATCTTGAGGACAGAAAAGGAGGAACACTTGTCTGTTGTCTTGAAAAACCTGCAGTAGTGTAAGGTGTTGATGACAGGATATCCTTCTTCCAGGGAGAAGGAAAGGACTGTTCTGAGTGGGGAAGGCGTGTTACAGCTCTCCTCAACTGCCATGCCTGGCACCTATTGCATTTCTTTTGGTTCTTACCTACAGCTGCATTCCTGGCCTCAGCCCTTCCAGTTTCATTTGGATGCATCTCATCTTGGGCTATAAAATCTTAAAATACAGTGCTGAGCGATGTCTCAGCTTGCTCTGCCTGCCGCTTTGGGAGTGACCATACTGCACCCCCAGACTGCAATTCAGCTGCTTCAAATAGAGCAAACACTTATTTAAATAGCAGCCTTCCTCCACCACTCCCTCAAAAGCTAATGAGCAGGGGATCAAAGATTCTCGAGCTCAACTGGCCCATCCACACATCGGGGTGACCTCCATAGCCTGCAGCACACGTGGGAGCAATGTAACAACCAGACTTCAAATACTGAACCCAAATAGTTTGGCATTTACAGCTTGGTCAGCTGGGACCTCTCTGTTATACAAGGTGAAAGCGTGGTTTGGAGTCACCCATCTGGATTGTTAACACAGTGCCTGACTATCCCGAAGAAAACAATACATGGAAGCAGCAGTTTTTCTAGAAACATCCCAGTGACTAAAAATACATGCAAATGCACTCTGAGAGCAAAAGATGGACAGATAATAAGTGCAACACAGCAGGATAACACTGCAATCCTCTCTAAATAAGAGGTAATTTTCAAGAGTGAGGGTATGAGACAGGCCAGCTTCACAAAATCACCATTGTTTGCTGACTTTGAACAAGTGCAGCTGCCCAGAGGGAGAGGTGTGAGAAGTCACAAGCAGTAGTTTTTGAAATGGAAGGTGGTGCTAGTTCAGCAGAAAAAGTAAACTGCAATGAAACAAAGATTCCAGTTTGCAGTTTACAGAAAATCTGAGCCAAAAGTTCTGTATGTATTTTCAAAAACTGAAATCCCATTTGTTTCCCCATAGCTAAATTAAGAATGTGCTATTTTGAGCTAGTGAACATTATCCCAATGTACTGAAAACACAGACAAAAATCCAGCAACTTTCCAGGGTTGACAAGATTATCTCAGGCCTCAGCTATCTTGCTTTGCACTGTGCTAGAAAACAGCTGATGGTAAGATGAGCCCTGATACGTGTCCAGCTGCAGTCCCCACCCCTGCTCCCACACCAAGGAGCTGTCTCTCCTACCCTGCAGGGCCCTCTGTGCTCTGAGGTGTTTTCTGCAGTGCTTGTTGGGATGCACAGTGGAAGCAATTGCAGTGTTTTTCTACTTGAAGAAGTCCAAACCTTGCCAAGACCTTTCTTCTGCTGTTGTGGAGGCCAGCACCTTTAAAAAGGCTCTCTCAGATGAAGGAACACTGCCTTCCACAGCCCTCAGGAAGCATGGTGAGGCCTGGAGATGTAGCTGTCAATGTGTTGTTGGGTGGCTTCAGCTTTGAAAGCTGTCTGGATTGTAAGAAGTGCAACAGCCTGGAACAGAAGCCACTTGGTCACAGAACACACAGACTTGGAGTATGACTTGTGGGAGCAAAACGGACATGGTCTGGAATAAGAGGAAGAAGACAAACAACAAGAACCACTTTGTATGAGCTCCAGGTCAGAAATATGAAATCATTGCTGTCTGCAAGTTCAGCAACGTGCTCAGCACTTAGAGCAGGAAGTTTCCAGATCTTGTTGTGATACCAGGATGTCTGAGCATCTTCTTTCTCACTCCAGAAAACCTTCTGCCAGTCTTTATCTGGCCTCTTCCTTGAGGCAGCCACACACTCTCATGTTTCATGGCTGGTTCCTCTCAGACTCATCTGGTCCCTAAGGTCTCTGTTAGCTAAAGTACAAGGATGTGGGAAGCAAAACAAGCAACAAGAACTGTCAGAAATAGGTTCCTGTGTTTCTGCCTTTGTTTAAAGAATGCCTCAGCCTCTTGCTCTTGATCCATTGCTGGTGGGTGTGATTTCTTCTGCCCCTCCTCTTAGTCATGGCCCCAAGTCCATGACTTTCCTGGGACCGGCTGAATCTTTCACTGTACAAGATGGGAACCAGGACTCCTGGCTAGTCTAGGCAGATTCATCTGTTGAGGTCAAACTTTACAGTGCTGAAATGCCACAGTGATGAGATCCTGGACTCAGGGACAGACAATTGAAAATGGACTGGTGTTGGCTACAGATCAACATTTAAACACGGAGCATGGTCAAGGGGGAACAGATGACGCAGAGGTGAGGAAGCCATGGCAGGATGGAAAGCAGCCTCTGAACTCAACTCAAATGTACTGTGCAGAGATTCATTGGTACCAGCAGCAGCCTGTGATGTTACAGAGCTCTGTAAACTTGCTATGACACAAGTGACAGATACACATTATTGACACAGTAATTCCAGCCAGTTAGCCAGTTCTCTCAAGCTGATACAGAGTATACACAGGTCAGTTCAGTATTCCTAAGGTAAAGACAATAGACAAACAAGTCATGAGCAGACAAGCCTTCAGCTCTTACCAGTTCATTTAGCTAGCAGGTAATTCTTTACTGAAAACAGTATGAGAGTGCAGACAGAAGAAGTCTCTAAAGGCCAAATAGAAGAATGTATCTGGAAGCTTCTACCATGAAGTAACAAGCTGGATTTGCCCCAGGATTAAATAACATATTGCTACTGCAGACTTGGGCCAGAGAGCACCTCAGAGAGCAGCTGCCTGGTTGCTGGGTTTGTTGTTCCCTTATACCTGCAAAGACAAAACACTCATCTCAGCACTATCCTCGTGCTAGTCCAAAGAATGAAACTAGTTACTACATTTGCAGATTAATCCCTGAGCATTACTAAATTTAATCCCAAACGTTACTACGTTTGCAGATTAATCCCTGAGCAAGGGGTTCTCTGAATACAAGGCAGCCCAGTGTGGGTTAAAAAGGGCACAGATTTTCATTGGGATGTACAAGACTAAATTTATAGCTGTTATTGCAGTTCAGCTAGTAATGAGCAGGCTGCTGTGCCTGCCACAGGACTTGCTTACCTGCCTGTAAATTACATTCTGGTGTTCACTGGTGGTTGCTGCTGCTGTGCTGCTGATCACCTCACTGTGTTGTGCCTGGGAACACTTTGGTGGCAGCCATGGTGATGGGCCTGGGCTGGCAGGTGACCAGGGCATCACTGCTGTTTCTGTGCTGCTGCACTGGGCAGGCTGGAACTCCAGTGGGAACTGGGGTGGAAGGGACTGTGACCTGCGAGGAGCCCATGGCCAAAAAGGATCTGGGGTGGAGATTGTAATGGATACACCTGTGTTGTAAGCCATGATTTGAGCTGTATGTTACAGGATTTAGTATAACAGGAACCACCCAAATAAATGGAGGAAAAGCCTCCCAAGAAGCAGCTGCAGGGCAGAACTGACCTGACCTAAGCTAGCCTCGGTGCCCAGGACCTGTACCTTACACAGAACCTTTCCTGTCCCACGTAACCACCAGAACAGATGGAGCCCAAAGTCATGAACTAAATTAACTCAAGGGACATTTTGTGGACATTTTGAGGGCATTTTGCAAGGGAAGTCCATAGACTAAGGGAATGACATCTGTGTATTATATCCAAGGGCAGGAGGTGGGGTGGTGGCTAATGAGATTGTACTGAGTAGTGTGGGACCTGAGCATGATGTGAATGATAAGGAGTACAGGTGGAATGTGTTTGTTTTGTTTGGAGTAGGGTTCTTCACAGTGGCTAGTATGGGGCTTTGGTTTGGATTTGTAGTGGACACAGGGTTGATAACATAGAGGTGTTTTTGTTATTGCTGAGCAGGACTTACACAGAGCCAAGGCCTTTTCTGCTTTTTGTACCGCCCCACCAGTAGGAAGGCTGGAAGTGCATGGGAAGCTGAGAGGAGACACAGCCAGGACAGGGGGCCTCAGCTGTGTGGGGAATATCCAAAGGGATATTCCAGGCTGTGTGACATCAGGCTCAGTATATAATGTTGGGGAAGAAGGAGGAAGGGGGATGTTTGGAGTGATGGTGTTTGTCTTCCCAAGTAACCGTCATGTGTGATGGGCCATGCTCTCCTGGAGGTGCTCATGGGAAGCAGTGAATAGAGTCCTTGCTTTGCTTTGGTTATGTGTGTGGCTTTTGCTTTGCCTATTAAACTGTCTTTATCTCAACCCATGAGTTTTCCATCTTTTGTCCTCCCAGTTCTCTCCCTGGTCCCACTGGTGGGGGAGTGAGCAAGATGCCTGGGGCTGGGCTGCTGGCTGAAGTTAAACCACAACACCACGCCAACAGAAGAAAGGAGGGGAGGTGCTTGTCAAGAAAAAAAAAAAATTAGGGGTTAAAAATACACCAAGAGGGTTAGCAATGGCACAGAAGGAGACAGACTGTGGATAATGATTACTGCTAATAGTCAACAGTTCCTTGAGCTGACGAGGTCCTTCCTGCAGTGCAGTTACTGACAATACCACAGCCATCGACCTAGTTACTGCAGGGTTTCCGTTCCCAGCATTCACAGCCAACACTGACTTACTTCAATTTCACAATTATTAATGTTTTGCTTAAAGCTACAGCAACTGGAATCAAGTGATCGCTGTGGAATCTCAGCTTTTGCTTAAACAGATAAGCACAATGTGGAGCTTCTCACCGTCAGAGAAAAACCAGATAAGATGAATTCCCAAAGGTCAGAAGTTGTGATGATAAACAAGGAGAACCTAGCCCAAGATAGGGTTAAAGTACTGTGATTTTTAAAGCATACCTAGTACTTTTGAGGGGTTTCCTTAATTTTCTCATTGTATTCCTACAGGAGTACTTGGGAAAGAAGGGACTGGCTTTAGAAAAGGAAGCATTCATTAGCAAAACTTAGCACAAAAGGCAGCAGGAACACTTTTAAATCAGCCGGGAAAGGAAAAAGCCAAAGAGCTGCACAGACTACACAAAATGAAGAAAACCTCATTACAGGAGGTAGAGGAAAGCAGGCAGGATATTTTTTGCTTTCCTTCCTCTTCATCTTCCAATATGACTCTCTCAGACCCTGCTTTCACCTCCTTCTGGGAGGGAGGAAGCCAAGCTTCCCATAATACTGTGAGCTCAGCTTTACAAGCTGGAGACAAAAGAGGAAACCAAACACACAATAAGAACCTGTGGATTGGCCAAACAAGGATTCCTGGAAGTAATTATCACAAAGGCAAGGTTTGTTAGCACTCAAACTACCAAGCTGAGGATTGGTCCTACTTTCCTCCCAGGGGGAGACAGAGGTGTGCATTTCTCCTTCCCAGTGTGAGAGTTTCCTAAGCAAGTCAGGGATTTGCTCTCTTACTCTCAGTAGGCTGTGTTGCTTATTAATTAGCTTGGATCAGGCTCTCGTCTAGGTGATGTCCAAGTAGATCTGGTCCACTCTTAGGTGATAGCAAAACCTTCATCACTGTGCTCTGGGTGCTCCTGTCATGCTGCAGGCTCAGCCCCAGAGCTGCCCTGCAGTGTCCCCACTGCCAGATGTGCAGCCTTGGTCCCACCACTATCCGTGTCTGTCTTGGGGACAAGTCAGATGCAGCTGTGCCTCAAGCTACACTCATCAGTGAGGATGGTGGGGATGAGCAGGGGTGCGCTGCTCCCCAGGCTCTCTCCCTGAGCTTTCACTGCTTGTCAGAGCTGGTGGCAGGGCACTGGCTGCACGGACACATCCCTGTGCCCAGCAGTGGAGCCTGAAGACATCATCATCATCAGCTGTGAGGTCTTTGATGCTGGTCCATGTCCTTGAGAGAGTTGTGCCCATTTAGCCTTAAAGAAAAGCTGTGCAATGGTTGCCAGATAACCAGTCACAAGGGACAGAAACATCCACTTGGAGGGTTTTCTGAATACACAAGCATATTACTAAAAAACAAAACCAAACTCCAAACCAGCTCAGTTATTAATAACCACATACCTGGAAAAAGAAATATAAAATATTTTGCTTTTTCCCTTAGCAGCCCAGTCCACCAGAAGTGCTTGATAGGCATGTGGTGCACCTATCAATACAACCAGCAGATAATAGTGAGGGACTGGCTTGAGGGTGGGAAGCAGGCTGTCCCTGTCACTTGTAATCTTCTCACATCCAGAGGCATCTTAAGGCCTTTCTAAACACGCTGATACTGCCTGAAAATCACTGAAAAAACCTACCCTTTGTTTGTGTTAACAGGATGAGAAAGTGCAAGGCTTCCTGTTATGTGTGTGTGACAGCTACAGATAAGCAGAGACCTCTGGACAGGAAATCCGCCCAACTTCTGCAGTGTGATTTGCCCAAAGCTGAGGAGCCCTTTTTAGATCGAAGCACCAACAGAATGAGACGGGGCTGGCCAGAAAATGGGGGACACGCTGGAGAAGAGCTCTGAGGAGCCCGAGATCTCTTTGGACAATGAGTGTTCGACAAAAATGGGGGACCTGGTGGAAGTCTCGAGTGGTGAAAAGGTCAAGTTTGACGATACAGGTCTCTCTCTTGTGCTCCAGAACGGCCTTGAGAACCTTCGGCTTGAAAATTCCCTTACTGATGTCATCCTGTGCGTGGACAGCAGGGAATTCTCCTGTCACCGAGTGGTCCTTGCTGCAGCAAGCAATTATTTCAGGTAAGGTTTGTAACAAACAAAACCAATACACTTATTTTGCTTCTTAGAATTGAACTGTAGGTCTCCAAGGAGTGCAAACTGGGTGTTGAAGTCTGCAAATTCACAGTGAGCCTCTAATTCCTTATGTCTTTCAGCTTTTTTAAAGTTGGAGACTTAAATAAGACAGGTGCCTAGTTGTGGGTTTGCTGGAGTTCTGATACCAGCACTCAAAAAGTCTGCTGGAGGCAGGCAAAGGAGGACAGAATATTGGCAGACAAGTGCATGAGAAAAGGGTGTTTTAACCAAGTATCTTTAGCCACTTGTCTTGTCCCTTTGGGACCTGGGCAAAGAGGAATACCCATTCAGATAGCAGAGTATTTTTATTGAAATAGGAGTGGGTTTCTGGAACTTGCTAATTTTTTCCTGTTACCATTCTGGGATAAAAATATATATTGCATTACATTTTTGAGGAGGAAAGAGAAGGAATTTTCCATCTGGAAATCAGTTGCAATGGGAAATGTCTCCTTGAAAGCAATTTTGCCACTTCACTGTCTCCTGGTGTGCTTGAACTTTTCATTCTTTCAATACAGTAGATATTCTATCTGAGACTACTGGCCAACAAGAACAAATTTTAGACACACAGAGGAACTTGGTATCAGTTTTAGCACAGATTTTCCGTTATCAATTAGACAATATCATTTAGACCATCACATTTGCATGGCTGGGATTTTTTTTCTTTCTTTCTTTTACTGCTAAAGTGGTCAGATGACTGAACAGGAAACACGAGAAAAAAGGACCTGTGACCACTTGTGACATGAGCAGAAAGCTAATTTTAATGGAGTCTGGTAAGCTTTGCTAGTAGTGCCAGAACAGTTCTGCTTTTCTAATCTAGAATAGAGATTCTGTGTCTGTGAATATTTGGAGACAGGTTTATTTCTACAGAGAGACTAAATTTATTGCATATAAGAAAATATACAGCTAAAAGCAGAGATGCCCAAATATTTCTTACCATCATTGTGTGCATAATGGACAGCAGATGCACAAATTAAAATCAAAATTATTGTAATGATACTTTGACAAAACCCCCCAATTTCACTATAAGTAAAGGTACTGCAATCAGAAGGATTTTCCAGTTAAAACCAGGCAAGATAGTTTTATGAGAACAGCTGTTGGCCAGCTT